TTTATAATCCTTCGTAGGCTTTACATAAGCAAAATTCTCTGGAACCAATTTCTAGTAGTGTGCAGAATGCATAAACCTATAGATTACTGCTTAGCAAGGATTAAGGTATTGTTAAGTAAGAGGTCTAGTATCAAATGGGCTTTTGTTACTGTTCTTTAGTACTACTGGAAAGTCCAAAGTGAGCTAATTAAGACAGTGCACTATAGTAATACAGTGAAATGGAAGCTTTGTTTTATAATCGAGTATTTAAAATGTCATAGCAAAAAATATTAAGTCACATTTAGAGAGATTCCTTAAAGTTAGCAAAAATTACTGATATGCTTGTATATTTACGGGTTTTGCTTTTTCCTGAAAGTTCTAATAACACAAATTTTTCAAAAGTATACCCTCCTTTAAGTTATCCATATGGACTACTCTTAGTGTACTTGCCCATTTTTCAGTTTGCTGTGTTGCACTATTAAGGTGACAGTTAATTTATTGGGCCTGTAAAGAATATAGGTGTTCAGTCAGGTTAAACAACAAACTTTTCAGTGCTTGGCATTAATCCACTTACTGCAAACGAAACAAACGCCAGTGTAAATTAAGTAAGCTTTCCTGGTGCAAATGGCAATTAAAAACTTGCTGTGTTTTTTTTAAAAAAAAGATACAAAACATCTAACATTTCTTTTAAAATCTGTAGTAACATGCAATTTTCTTTTTCCAGTTCTCATCATCAATAAGAAATTCCATGCTTTTCTGTGAATAATAATAAAATCCATTTATTTTAAGCAAGGAAAAATAATTGATAGCAATGGCAGCTGTGACAGACCGTATGATATTGATTACAATACTGACAGGAATTCCCAGTACGGGTTTAGAAGAGAAAGATGGATTAGATTTGAAGATGTTGGAAAAGGAAAAATGAACTAGATCCTATCAGCCACTAATTTTCTCTCAATTCTGTTCCTGTCTCTGCAGACATAACTCCACTGCAGCTATAAAACACAGCACAGTCAAAAAGAGAAGAGGCAGAATGAGAGCAATCCCTGGGTACAGAATGTCCTGCAAAGTAATGTGTGGGCAAGGTACTGCAGTGCTGACATTTCCCATGGAGAAGAAGAGTTTCAGGCATGCTGAAAATAGAATCATCTTGAGAAAGGGATCGTGCAGCTGCCTTGTTCTCTGCCAGCCCTTAAGATATGACTTCTCCACAATCAGGCTCTAAGGTCAGTAGGCACAGAGAGACAGAATACTTAGCAACAGATCACAACTAAACTGAAAATACACATGTAGACACAGATTTCCCTCTAGAGCCTACATACAGAAACAATGAATTTTGGTTTTAGATTTTCATTGTGAACTGAGATCTTGATCTTGCTATGTTTCAGTGGAAAGAACTTTCACAATCTAGTAGTGTGATGCTTTCTTTCATTGCTGTTATCCACTAGTTTCAATGCTGTCATCAGTGGAAGAAACCCCATGGTACTGTTCTTAAGTCTTCTGCCCAGAATGAACCAAGGAAAAGAATGATAACAGGCCCCAGATCTAGCACTCATCTGTTTGATAGGAGTCATTGAAGAGAACCGCTGCTGATCTCTTACATTCAGTTTGCATCTTCTTTACGGTAAAACTTACTATAAAAAGGATGTAATTTGCAGTGTCAACCAGCAAATTACAGTACAGCAGAGAACAAATTGTGAGGTTGCATTTTATATTACATAACCACACAGAATGAAATTCTGTGCCATTCATAACTTCTATACCCTCATCAGATGTGTTTCGCAGTCTCATTAGCTTTCCTCTTTTTCACTAGGTTTTCTGGTACAATCCCAAGAACTTCTGAGATATGTTGTGGACATCTGGCTTATCCACTAGGTCATCTGCTCAACAGGCAATAAATTAGGAAGTCCTAGTTTACAGATTCATCTCATAAAGAAATGTTCAACATTAGGAACTTCTAATTTGAAGTCGTATCATTCCTTGAATTAAAAAAACTGTGATTCTTGTTTTCTGTCATGCAGCTTTTCCTGAAAACTGGATGCTATAGCTTTGACTGCACTTTTGACAGGAATTCATTCAAGTCAATAAGGTTCAGAAATTTCCAGTGTAAAATAGTTGCGATCTATGCCTTACAAGATTTGACTGTTTATGTTTCAGCATGGCATTGGAAAGGTGCAGATGGAAAGCGACTCAAAGTGGATAACAAGATGCATTGTCAGCAGATGGAGATTAAAAGCATGTTCGCATTCGTGACTTCAAGTGAACTACTGACGCCCCTCTCAGCATGAAGCCTATGAAACTCACAGGATACAGCAAACAGCCCCTTCTGCTGAGCCCTGAGATGCTGGAGAATGTTCAGAGCTACTCAGCTTCTACTAGATAGGAAACCTTCTCTTGTAGGTCAAAAGTCCTCGGCCTGAAAAAAAGGCTTAGGAGCTTATTCAGAAGATAGTGTCTTTTGAGCCTGAGGACAGTTCACCTCAGTTACTCCTCCCCCAGAAATCAGGGGCCCTGATGTCCTAACAGTGAATTGAAGAGGCTTAAAGCCACAGGAAGAACCTAGAATATCTGTGTGGATGTGCTGCTCCTCTGATAGACCGTGGCCCTGCATGAACTGATTGCGAATACAGATGGGAGAGACATGAGCCCTGAGCATGGACAGGGGAAGGGCTGGCATACAGCTCTGGGACAGACTGCAATCAGGGAAGTGAGTGGGGGAGGAATGAAGGAGATTCGTCAGTGAGAAAGATGAGATGGGAGAATGCAGGATAGTGAATGTGGTGAAAGGAAGAAGAATTGAGTGAGGAGCCCAAAGGAAAGGATAGGAATTGGATGCAATAATGTGTGTTGTGTGGTGGTGTTGTACCCAAAATTTTGGGAACTGAAAGGGCTTGAGGTAATCTCAGATATGGCACCTGTAGAAATCAAGAGGGAAACCTGCTAAAGCACTGAAAATTTCAGAATGAAGTGTTCTTTGATTGCTCATTGATTTTTTTCAACATTTCTATATCAGAAAAACAAACAAAAGTGCCAAGAGGAGCTGAGTTCTCTGGAGATTTAAGTTTACATTTGTGATGAAATTCTGTGCCCTTTCACACCAATTTGCAAGTCTGCCATGATCACACTTTTTGCACATGCATCATGTCAAAATGCAGTGCATTCTGTAAGAGCAACGTGAGAATGCAGATCTGTGCAGCTGCAGATGGTGCCTAAGTTGATGACACTGAAGTTGAAAAGCAGATGAGAGATTTGAGAAATCTTTCCCTCAAAACTTAGTCTGTCTCTCTGTGAAAATATCATTTCCCACTGGCTTTCTGCATAACATTTTTTTATTTGAATGTTCTTCTGTGACTCTCAGAGGATGGACCCCAAAAGCATTTAGTGGAACTCACACAGCCTGCAGTGCTTTCCTACAAGGCTGTAGCTATCTTCACTGTCCTGTATTTAAACCAGCTACTTTATAACTGTACAGGACACGTATGGTACTCAGTCATCCTCGCTGCATAGCTGGAAATGTCAAATTCAAGTTCATAAGAAACCACCTCTTTTTCATCCCATGAGTTTCAAAATAAGGAGTTCTCATGTCAGAACAATGACCACTGCCCCAAGAAGCCATGCACAACCATGCTCAGTGGTTTTCTTAACCTTTTCCTAATATCCAAATTAAACCTCTCTGCTCCCTTGGGTTTCCACAAAGAGGAGATGATACCAAGTGTAATTATAAAGCTCTTGTGATAAAATTCAGTCAATGAAGCTTGACCTTTGCATTTCTTAAGCTCATTCAACATTAACTAGTAGGAAGTGAGGTAATGGACATTGGGAGTGAGATGTGTACATCTCACATGTAGAAATGTACAGGGAAACTTGGACTTCATTGTATTGGTATTGGAGAAAGCTGGATACGATTATACTGCTTTTCATGGAAATATAGAATATCCTGTGTTGGAAGGGACCCATAAGGATCACTGAGTCCAACTTGCATGTCCATGCAGGACTACCCAATAATCAGACCCTATATCTGAGATCTTTGTCCTGAGGTTTCTTGAACTCCAGTGAACCTGGTATCAGCACCACTTCCTGAGTGTTGTGGTTTAACTCAGCAAGTGGCTAAGCACCACACAGTCATTCTTATTCCCTGCTCTTCCCAGCAAGGTAGGAGAGCGAGTCAGAGAAAAAAAAAAAAAAAAAAAAAAAAAAAACTTGTGGGTTGAGATAAAACTATTTACTAAGATAGAGAATAGGAAAATTATAATAATGATGACATACATATATGTGTGTGTGTATGTTACAAGTGATGTACAAGCAATTGCTCAACACCCCCTAACCGATCCTGAGCTAACCCTCTGAGCAATGGAAAAGCGGAGACAAACTTCCCTTCAAAACTCTTTCTGCATGATGTCACATGGAATGGAATATCCCTGTGGGCAGTGTAAGTCACCTGTCCTAATTCTGTTCCTTCCCAGCTCCTTGGGCCCTTCACTGAGAATGGCATTGGCTCTGCATTGCTGCTCTTAGAAGCAATCATAAACATCAGTGTGTTACTGATATTGTTTTACTCCTTAGAACCAAAATATAGCATCACTCCAGACACTCTGAAGAGAAGAACTCCATCTCAGCTGAAACCTGAGGAAACCACTGAGAAGGTTGTTCTATTGCTCAGCTGCCCTCTGGTGAAGAACCATTTCCCGATATCCAACCTGAACTTCCCTGATGAAGCTCCATGCTGTTCTCTCAGGTTTTATCACTGGTCACCAGGCCATAAAGAGCTGCAGGCCACAAGGGAGCTGTACGCCTTGAGAGGGCTGCAGGCCACCATGAGGCCTCCCCTCAGTCTTCTCTGGGCTGAACAAACCCAAAAGTGGAATTCAGCTGCTCCTCACACACTCCTAGAACATTGCCATCTTTCTAGCCCTCCTTTACACACTCTCCAATAGTATTACGCCCTTTTTGGACTGTGGTGCCCAAAACTGCACCCTGTGCTCAAGGTGAAGCCACACCAGTGCAGTGTAGAGGGGGACCTCTCAGGAATCCTGGCATGAGACAAGGAGAAATGCTGGAATACTAATTCTCTGGTGCAAAGCTCTTCATCCTGACACTTCTGCTAAGTTGTGGCTAAGCAGTGAACATTGGAGATGGTAAGGACATTTTCCATTTAAAAAGTTCCCTTTATACTATTGAAAGTTGGATGATGTGTCAATTTAAATATAATATGATGAGAGTTTTCTTTGTTCCTGATGTAGTTTATCTAGTCTGGGTAAGGGATTTTAGCTATTATTCCAGATGAGCAGTGCTAGAAAGGATGGATCAGAAAAGAAGTTGGAAAAGATTTATTGGGAAAACCCAGTGATAAGCCCAATAAATGAAACGGCTAATTAATCTGGTCATATGAAGGGCATCCTGGCCATGTTGTTGGTTTGATAATGATAACGGTAAAGATAAGATACATCCTCAGGTTAAGTGAGTTAACCTTTGTGTCTGTTTCTCTTGAGAAAATTCTTGTATATTGGGCTAGCTGTGAATGGGCTCAGACGATTTTGTCATCTTCTAATCCTATTCCTTTGTTTGATGACTGATTTATGCAAAGCCTGATACCATTGCTATTTAACTTTAGAGCAGGGAAAAGATAAATGACTTCTATTTGGGAAGTTTCAACAGTAGATTTGAAAACCTGGAATGTCTGTACTTCCCTCTAATATCACTGAAGGAGCTACCCATACAGTACAAGTCAATCTTACAAAGAAAAGGGAAGATGGAGGGCAAAATCATCTAGAAATTAGATAGAAAGAAAATACAGAACTTAGTTTTGAAGAGGAAGAAATACAGAACTTAGTTTTGAAGAGTGTATTCAAGACAGCTCTTGAATACACATCAAATTTCTACGGTTTCTGAAATTCCTCTTATCTCTCCAGCAAATGTCACAGTGAATTGTATCTGGGCAGTGGGTGCTGGTTGAGGAGGAGACATTCAGAATGCAATTTTCGTCAGATGACAAAGCAGACAAACAGCTCCAGTTACAGAGCAGGTGAGTGGACATGCTCTGATGACAGCAGAAGAGGAAGGAAAAGGCAAAAAGAATTGGAGAATGGAATGAAAGAAGGAATGGTGATAGTATGTTTTTCAACTGGAAGTTCATATGTGGGAGATGGGTTACTCTATGGAGATAGATTTGTACAGATTTTTCATAGCTAATATTTTTTACTAGAAGTGGTTATATGTCTAACAACCTATCCTGCTTTATTTATTAAAAAAAACAAAATGACAGGCTTTTGAACATAAAAATGTCATAGTAATAAATTATGAAAAGCATTCACATCTGCAGAAACAACATACAGTACTTACATCATGTGAGATATTTTCTACTGGTTATTCCCATATTCATTATTTACATTGAAAGAGCAACATTCTTAAAACTTATTTTCAGTTTGGAGACTAGTCCATGGCAGAATACCTCGCACAGAGAACAGACTTCACTGGCATTCAAGTAAAATTAGCCTCACTTAAATTAGCCTAATCAGCTAAATTTCAGACCATTTCACTTGGTCACTGCTTTGCCAGACAGCACAGGTATATATCATCTCCACAGCAAGTCAATGTCTTCAGCTCCCTGGCAAGCTTTCCAGTTGACCAGTATCATTTGTGAGCGGGATGCCTTGCTGGGCCTCAGAGCAGAGCCATCTCACGACTGCACTACTGTCTGCCTCTCATATTTGCTAAGCCTGCATTTTACCCCTAGTGCCTCATTTCCAAACCTTCTGTGTACATTTTATTTCTTCAGGCAGCACTGTGCTGACTTCAGGGAGCTGCTGGTATGAGAAGGTGGTGGTGTCTGTTCTGCTGGAGATGTAAGAGTGCTGTCATGAAACCCTAACAGGAAGGCTCAGGTACTGTGTGTTTTCCTCTTGAAGCTCCTATCAGGATATCACAGTGTGAATTGTTCAGTGTGGCTTTAGTGACATTGAAGGGAAATATTTACAGCCAGTTTCTCTGCTGTAACTAGAACACAGATAATGCATTCAAACCATACAGAACAGCAGCTCTATATGAGCACATCATCTACATCTATTTTAAACTTTCCTCTGGGAGATCTTTCTTTAGACCACCAGGGGCCAATGTTTTTCTCAGGATCTTTGCACTAATACTGATCAGATGACAGACAATTTTACTCTAAAAATAGTGCCTCAGTGCAAATCAACCCCTGACCTTCACACATAGCAGATAATCAGAAAACAGTATCTTAAGTATCTTAGGGGAGGTACAGGAACAGACTTTTTAGCAGGGTCAGGCCTTCAGAGATCCCTTCCTGCTCTAAGGATTCTATAATTCTATGATTCAAATAGGATAATTTTCAATCCTACTTGAAGGTAAATTACATATTTAAGGTATTTCTAAATTAAAGTAAATCCTAATATGATTTTGTTTTGTTAAAACTATAACATAAAGCTAGCGATTTTCACATTCATATAATTACCAGTCCAACTAAGTGAAATGTAAATCGTTTCCTTCTATAGAAACACTGTAGGTTTACAACAGTAACATCCAAACACCAGTACAAACCAAATAAATTGTTAGGAGCATATTCAAAAATATCAAAATATCCCTTTTTCATAGCTGTGACACAGTGCCAGTGATTTGTTCCAGACCTCACTTCCTTTCTGGTTAACAGCTAAAAGCTGTGCATTTCTCTGTCATATCTTCCCAAAAGTGTTTTGTTCCTCTTCATTAAATTTCTTTCTTGATTTGGAGACAGTTTCTCCATTTTAGAACAGCTTCTCATTATCCTGATCCCCTTTTGTCCTGCCATAGTGCTTTGATGTCCCTCTCCCAGAAGCTCTCAAACCCTTCACAAAGTGTATAGGCCATCTTGTGTAAACACAATAGGTAATCATGATAATTGCTTTATGGCAAAAATGGAAGCACATGTTCACGATACTGTGTGGTTCCATAGTGTGGCACAGAACTCCTCTGCTTTAAAACCCAACAGAAATGACAGGGCGGGATGCCAAAATGCTCTTGTAGATTTTATTCTAGACACGTCAGACTCTGGAGGCAGAGGTCCCTGCCACTGTCATGCTAGTACAGACTACTTACATCTCAGTAGAGGTGACATAAAGGAAATATCACATTCTGGGCCAAAGGCACACAGACTCCTCCTTAGAGAGGGGTTCCACACAAACAAAGGCATGAAGCAGAGCTCACCTGAAGAAGGCAAGTATCCATGTTTTTTGGCATTTCAAAGTTCTCTCCACTTGTAGTTGTGGCTAGCTCATCCACATGGGGAAAAAATTAGAAAAAAAAAGACTTCACGCTTTTCAACAAGAGAAAGGAGGTAACTTTAAGAACGGTGCAGCAAGAAGGGGGGCTCTTCTATACCTGCAGTCATGGCAGCACAGAAACTCGCATGCTGGACCTTCTACCCTACAGCAGGGACAGCATCTCTAGGGAATGTTGTTACCCAGCTGCTGAATCACTTCAGGTCTGTGTAAACCATCATGGTGGATTAGCACAAACTGCATGCATGATCTTTCAGCATGTCTTCATTAATACTTAGTGCTAAAGAGGAATTTGATCTTGTAGCAGATCTCTCAGTTCCAGATATTTGCTTCCATGACAGCTGTGCAGCATGGACACCTTTGTTGTACTCCCACCTTAAACTACGATTAACATTCTGGACCCACCACGTGTCCCTGAAAACCACCCAGCCTATGTGTCAGGTACAGCGTTCCTGAGAGCTGGCTGCTGGCCGTAGCACGCACGGCACCCGAAGGAGGGACCGCCTCAGCGGCTCCGTTCTGCCACCTGCTGGCAACTTGTGCCCGGAGCACAAATAGAGCAGGGCTGCCTGCGTGAGCTCCCCGTGAGTGACAGGAGCTGCTGGAGCCCGAGGCTGAGGGGAAAGAAAGCTCATGGGGATGAAACGGGCCAGGGGACGAGGGGACAGGCGCAGCCACTCTCCCAGCTGATGCCTCTGGGCCTTGACTTCCTCCGCCTGATTGCCTGTGGGGGCTGAACTTTCTGCGAGCCTCTGAAGCTGAGAGTGAGCTCTGACTTGTCCCTCACCCATTGAGGCTGCAAGGAGAAGCAGCTGTGAACTCTGAGGGCAACAGCTCACCTTTTTCATTTGTTGATACCCAGGAGGGGTGATCACCCCCACCACACGCACCCCAAGCTGAACACCAGCAGCAGCTGTGCAGCAGCCGTGCTCCTGGTGGCACAGCACATCCCAGCAGAGCAGGGCAAGCACCCAGGGGCCGCGTTCACACACTGCCATTTCCACTGGCTTCAGAGGGGCCCCTCCGGCCGGCTTCTGACTGTTCACATTTCAGCTGAGAAAGGAGCTGTGCCGGACGGAGCAAGACTTTCTGGGACAAGAATAGCATCTGCCATCTTAGGACACAGCACAGTTGTCCAGCTCCTGCACGGCAGCACGCCGCAGTGAGATATAGAAGGCAAGCTACCCGCTGAGGAATGTCTTCGAGTGCTATTCATGGAGGCGTATCATCTACAGCAGCAGGCCCGGCCCCACGCAGGAGCCTTGCGAGGGGGGTTATTTTGAGCTTTGGGCGCTGAGGATTGAAGGGAGACAAATGACAGCCATCCTCCTGGCACAGGCAACTGCAGAGCTCTGTGCACAAGCCCCGCAGCCTGTCAGCGCTTCTGGGGATGACGCTTGTGAAGCTGCTGGGCGATGCGGTGGGACCTGAGAGCCCAGGAGATGGGAGCCAGGAGGGAGCTGAGAATTCGCTGGGGACGCGAGGGCAGGCCTCAGGCCCGCCTGTCCCAGACTCAGGCACTCCTCTGCCTGCTTTGTTTTGACCGCATCCCTGGGAGCGTTGGCAGGTAACTTTGTGCAGGTAAATATTGTGATAGGTCAGAAGAGAACAGACACAGGCTCTTGATTTCGTAGCTGCTTCATCTTCAGTGAATTACCTTCCCTTTCCTATCAGTGCTTGTTGTAACATTTTCCTTTGTATAAAAAGTATTTGTCAATTTCTCCCTTCCCCTACAACCTCAGACTCTCCACAATGTTGTCAGCTCAGCCTTTATGTAGGCCATAAGTCCATCTACCTGGTAGTAAAACACCCATCAGCTTTCTTCTTTTCCCTTGCCTGAGGCTGTGCTGCACGCAGCCAGTTGTGCAAGAGCTGACAAGGCTGACATTCAGGTGATGGGCTGAGGAGGTGCGTTCTTCTATGCAACGTGTGGAAAATCAGCCCTGAGGAGGCTTCCTTTCGGTAGGTGGCCCCAGGCAGGGCTCAGCCTTCTGCCACATTGGAGGGAAACCACAAATAGATGGCATCAGCTCAGAGAATCTAAAGTAAGAGAAAATGCACAGTTTAGAGGCACCATCAAAGTGTCATGACAGTGCACTAATTTTGGTGTCTGCAGGAAATTGTTTCTGCTGAGGAACTGTCTGTCCTTCATGGTGTGATACACTGCGCCATCTGATAGCTTAGTTAGAGACCAGAGTTTAGGATCTGTGGTTGCCATGATTGCAACCCATAGCAGAGAAGGAAAAAGGGAAGGGATCGCTCTCTCTTGCCACTCACATGGCACGTAAGCTGTGCTGACAGGACAGTAGGAGAAGCATTAAGAATATGTGAGGGCAAGAGTAGTGCAAGGAGACTGAAAACAATGTATGTAGCTGCATCAGTAATATCCCAACTCATTCAAATGAAAAAGGAAACAAAAAAGAGAAAGGAAATTAAAACAGAAAAAAAAAAAAGAAAAAAAGAAAAAAAATATGAAAAAGTAAAATGAAGAAGGAAAAGAAAAAAGGAAAATCAGAGAGAAAGGAAAAGAAGAAAAAGAAAGCAACAAGGAAGCCACTGTTTGTAGTGCTTATGCATATTAATCTATGGTTTTTATTCTCTAGACACTGGCATGGTTACAAAGGCATTGCAAAAGAAAGTGACAGAGGGTTCACATTTTGTGCACTCCTCACGCTGCTTTGCTGCCTCGTGACATCCTCACTCTTCCCCTTGTATCTTCTTACTGTGAAACTCCCGGCTCTTCACTCGGAGCTTGTTGACCTGTGACTCTGCAATGTCAGCCCGCTCCTCAGCTTCCTCCAGCTCGTGCTGGATCTTGCGGAACTTGGAGAGGTTGACGTTGGACAACTCCTCCTGTACAGGGAGAGGGAGTTGGTGGTGAGGACCCAAGACAACGTTTTCAGTCTTCCTTTGTGCAGGCTTTCAGGGACTGTGGTGTCTCCCCAGCACGAAGCATGGACTTCCTGTCTCCCATTGCTGACCCAGAACCCTCCCAAAGACCTTTTCATTTTCACTTATTTAAATTATCCCATTTGAACTAAGGAAAGCAGTTTTTGAAGTCTTATCTCACTTTTGCCCTCCAGATTGTGTCTGAAATTAGCATAGCTCAACAGTCTAACTGTAGTGTAATTTTGGCAGTCTGTTTAGTCTTCATACTAAAAAGTTTGGGCTAAGGAAGTATGCTTGTTCCCCACAGGTGGGTTTATAAGTGATGATAGGGAACTGCCTTCTTGTGCCACTGGTGAGTGTAGTTTCACATTCCTTCTCCACATTTGCTGTGACAGCACTGATATGTAACTGCATGATATGGACTCTTGGAAAGAGTCCAGCGGAGAGCCACGAAGATGGTGAAGGGCCTGGAGCATCTCTCCTATGAAGAAAGGCTGAGTGAACTGGGTCTGTTCAGCCTTGAGAAAAGAAAACTGAGAGGGGACTTGATCCAGATCTATAAATATCTAAGGTGTGGGAGGCAGAATGGCGAGGCCGGACTCTTTTCAGTAATGAGTGGAGACAGGACAAGGGGAAACGGACAGAAACTGCAGCATAGGAAGTTCTGCACCAATGTGCGAAGGAACTTCTTTACAGTGAGGTGAGGAGCACTGGAACAGGCTGCCCAGGGAGGTGGTGGAGTCTTCTTCTCTGGAGATGTTCAAGACCTGCCTGGATGCCTACCTGTGTGACCTGGTGTAGGGAACCTGCTTTGGCAGGGGGTTGGACTCGATGAGCTCTGGAGGTCCCTTTCAACCCCTACAATTCTGTGATTTTGTGATTCCCTTCCATAGCCATACAAACCTCTTGCAATCCACACTCCCAGCCTCTGTGGGAAGTAACTCTTAACTCACTACTTTTTTAAGGAAGTTGATTGCTTTGCAGAGAAAATGGAAACTTTTTTCCAGTTCAACAGATGAACTAAAAATTTCTATCTCCTCGTCTGGTTCAGTGTCCTAGTTCTGCAATCCCTAATATAAGGTGAGGAACAGGAAAGAGGTAAGTCAGTTAAGATGCCCTAAATCTCCCCCTCTCAAATCAACCAAACATCATAGTTCAGCAAAATTTCTCTGTACTTGGCTGTGTGGAGGAAGAAATCAGACCTCAGAAATTTATCAGCTAAGAGAATGGTTGTGAGCCCTATCTGCCAGTCTGCCCTCCAGTATGAAAGAGACTACAGCATATCTCTCAGTTTACCCCTGAAAACAGCATGGCCCAAATAAAGCAACGCCAGTTATATTATCAGGAATATATTACTAGAGCCATTAAACTTCTCTAGGTAAACCATCCAACAGAGGATTCATAAGGAGGAGTCTCTTGAAGGTAAACACAAAACTATATCCAGTTGAAGCCATCATTATTCACCAGTTTCTATGCTTTCCAAGTCCCTGATATATTTTCTGTTCCACCTCAGGAAGTTGTATTTGTTAACTCTACCGGAAATACTTACAGCCTCCTCAGCTTGTCTCTTGTAGGATTTCACCTTCATCTGCAGTTTGTCCACCAGATCCTGGAGTCTAAGAATATTCTTCCGGTCTTCCTCAGACTAAAGCAGACAGTAAGCAGGAAAGAGAGAGGAATTATTTTCCCCACACGACAAAATGACATTTCCTCTTGGAGTTCATAGAGAAATGCAGTGGCTTCCTATAGAATGCTATGTCAACACAAAGATGCCATCAGCCTTACCTGGTAGGTCAGCTCCTTCACCCTCCTCTCGTACTTGCGCACACCCTTCACGGCTTCAGCGCTGCGCTTCTGCTCAGCATCAACCTCCCCTTCCAGCTCCCGCACCTGCAATGAAAAGCCCATTTTGGAGCTTCCCTGCTATCTCTGACCTGGCGTTGCACACACTTGCACAAATACCAGCCCTACGCACCCTGGCCTCCAGCTTCTGGATTTGCTTCTTGCCTCCCTTCAGGGCCAGCTGCTCTGCCTCATCCAGACGGAGCTGCAGGTCCTTCACCGTCTGGTCCAGGTTCTTCTTCATCCTCTCCAGGTGGGCACTGGTGTCCTGCTCCTTCTTCAGCTCTTCTGCCATCATGGCCGCCTGGAGAGGCAAAGCAGCAAAGCGAGTTTGGGGTCAGAGACTTCTTGGGAGAACTGTGTCGGCTGTCAGCAGTGAAAGAGCCACGACTCACATCGGTGATGGCCTTCTTGGCCTTCTCTTCAGCATTGCGGGCTTCCTGGATGGTATCCTCCATTTCGCTCTGAATTTGGGCAATGTCTGTTTCTAGTTTCTTCTTGGTGTTGATCAAGCTGGTGTTCTGTACAAATAGAGATTGCAAGACTTGTACTCTGAGACCTGGAATACACCAGCGACAGTCTAAACCAATTCTTTACTCTTCAACCTTTGCATTTTAAATGTGGAATTCTTTGTGAAATGGCTGTTTACACAATTTCAGTGGTGGGCTAAGCTGATGGACTGTGACCATGTTTTTTGCATTGGCACTACTATTTCCTGCCACTGTAACAGTGCCTACACAACTAGTTGGAGCATCAAGGCCTCACCTGGGTATGGAGGAGCTGCACACGCTCACTTGCATCCAGAAGCTCCTGCTCAGCCACTTTCCTCGAGCGCTCCGTCTGCTCCAGGGCTGCCCGTAGCTCCTCAATCTCAGCCTGCAGCAGGTTTGCTCTGCGCTCCACCATGGCCACCTGCTCTTTCAGGTCCTCCTGAGTCCTGAGAGCATCATCCAAGTGTATCTGGGTATCCTGTAGAAGAGACAAGAGAAACGACAAGGGGCACAGCAAACCCAAGGTGACTAAAATGTCAGGGAAGACAGTCCCTTATTTGTATTTTGCTGAACAGACCTTCAACACTGTCTGCGTGTTTCTCAGGTTCTTTTGTGCCTCTGCAGCAACACGGTTGGCATGGCTCAGCTGGATCTCCATTTCATTCAGGTCTCCCTCCATCTTCTTCTTCAGCCGCAGGGCTTCATTCCTGCTCCTGATCTCAGCATCCAGGGTGCTCTGCATGGACTCCACAATTCTGAGGTGGTTTCTCTTCAGCTGGTCAATTTCCTCATCTTTCTCTGCTATCTTTCTGTCAATCTCAGACTTGACCTGGTTGAGCTCCAGTTGGAGACGCAGGATCTTCCCCTCTTCATGTTCCAGGGAGGCCTGGACAAATAATTGTCATCACTTATCCATGTAAGTAAAACGACTTCTTACTTTCTAGCTGAATACAGAATATCTCAGGAAATCTGAGGTAGGTATGCCCTGTAGCCAGAACAGAGGACAACCATGCCTTTCTTAGTCAGATTTCCTCCCTGCTGATATTTTTAGTGTGGATGCCGGTTATTATGAGCATGTACCTCAGCTTCCTCCAAGGCAGCCTGGATTTCAGACTTCTCCTGCTCAATCTGCTTCTTGACTTTCTCCAGCTCATGAATCGCCTTTCCTCCCTCTGCAATCTGCTCCGTGAGGTCAGAAATCTCCTCTGTAGAGAAGAATGAACATTCACATGGTCAGGTATAGAGCATAGAGGGAAAGGCCCTGTGACCCCAGCATAACAGCTCTGCTCCCATCACTGCAGGCACAGATCCAGGTGGAGAGGTGGGCAGGAGAGCTTCTGAGAAAGCCCTGCCAGCAGGAAAGGCTGAGCGACTTACGCTGCAAGTTCTTGTTCTCACGCTTCAGCGTTTCCAGGTGGTCCAGGGACTCCTCATAGGCATTCTTCATCTTGAACAGCTCTGTGCTGAGGGAGCGAGACTCCTTCTGGGAGGCCTCCAGCTCAGCCTGCGTTTCCTCGTACTTCTGCTTCCACTCCGCCAGGATCTGAGGAAAAACAGATTGTGAGTTTGGATGCGACAATCATTGTGTGCCCAGGAAACACAGGCCTGGAGCCCAGAATACCTTGTCAAAGTTCTTCTGCTTCTTGTCCAGAGCTGCGCAGGCAGCATTTGCTCGCTCCACGTCAATCATGAGGTCCTCCACCTCATTCTGCAGCCTCTGCTTTGTCTTTTCCAGGGAAGCACATTTGGCATTCACGGCTTCAACGTGTTCCTCTGCCTCCTGCAGGCGCTGTGCCAGCTTCTTCCTGGAAGGTTGTAAGCACAGCTCAGACTTTGGGAGCAAAGTGGAGATTTTTCTGTCTTTTTCACTACCGTACTGAGGCACTTCACAGTGTTCTCCCCAGATGCACCTAATGCAGAGCGTCTCCCAAACTTTATTCCCTTTTCCTTTCCTCAAGTCTAGAAATTCATCAATTCCTCATCTCACTGCATACATCATACACTGCCTTTGTCTTGCATTCTATCACATTGCCTATTTGTCCTTTTGAAACCACCATCTCAACAGCACAAATTTCCCTTCTTATCACTCCTCTCCAAACTGCTATTTGTCTTTTGCCCTTCAGTATGTCAGAGATTTCTTCAAATTTCCACTACTTTCTACCAGCCTTCCCCTCCACATACTTGGCCTCCTCCAGCTCCTCTGTGCGCTGAATAGCGTCCGTCTCATATTTGGTTCTCCACTGGGCCACTTCGCTGTTGGCCTTGGACAGGGCACGCTGCAGCTCACCCTTGGCTTCCTGCTCCTCCTCATATTGTTCCCGGAGCAAGTCACAGTCATGGCGGGCAGACTGCAAGCTATGGGCGAGGGCGTTCTTGGCCTGTGGAGAAAATTTTATTAAGGCAATGAACTGCCTGTGAGACAGTAGTATGGTGAGAAAGGGAAAATTGTTTAAAGCAATTTGAATCAGAAATCTGTGGTCAGCTCAATATGAAAAAGTGTGTATATATTCTCAAAAGGTTCTTAATAGTTCAATCATCAGAACATGGAATGTTTGTTCAGGAGATATGATGGGTAGATTCTAAAGAAAAAATGTTAGTCTGAATTCTTTGAAATTTGTTCTGAATGTCATACTGCATTAAAGTAAAATAGAAACTCAGTTTATATAGACGTATATCAGTCTTGTTTATATACCATTAGGCAATGGCATATGAACAGTATACACCATCATTAAACCAACTGAAAATCTAAGGATGACCTTCCCTACTTTTATATCCACTTTGGAGGTGATGCCTTCATTGACTTTCTTCCTCCAATAGGTATGGTGGTTTGCGAAGCTGTCCACCAGTTTCGAAATGTGCAAAATGAAAATTTTGATTTTATGTAGAATTATAGGAATTATTTAAGAAAAAAATTAGCTGAATCCCAAGCCTACCCTGCTACAAAACAAAGGAGGTACCTTGGTTTCTTCTTCTAGATGTCTCTTTAATTCCTCAATCTGTTGAGTAAATGCCTGCTTGCCTCTTGATAACTGAGATATCAAAGCATCTTTTTCTTCCACCTGCCGTGAATATTCACCTGAAAAATTTTACAGATAGATTGTAATTTCAAGAGAAATACTAAAACAAGATGCGCTTATAACACTTTATGCTAGTTTATAGAGGATAGGCCAACTTGAATACAACATGGCACTTTTCTTGGCAGAATTACTTGGAAATTTTCCCATTCTTCAGGAGTGTATGGATACCTTACCTGCTTCTGTCTGCAGTCGAGCTCTTTGAGTATTGAGGTCATTGATCATGCGCTGATGCTCTTCCTCCTTTGTCTTAATCTCACTCAGCTGATCTTCCAGTGTGCGGCACATCTTCTCCAGATTTGCCTAGGTATGAAGAACATTTAGAGAAAAGGAGCACATCATTATATTCTGGTATGATGCTCTTGTGATGAAAAGTAACACTACAGAGTGCGATTGCAAATTGTAATTTAAAGGTTCAGAATCATGTTTTTGGCCATAGGGATAATAAGTCTAAAGTATCCTGTACCTTGGCTTTGGAGACAGACTCCATGTTGCTGGCCAAGTCATCTATCTCCATCTTCAGCTCACTCTTCTCCTTCTCCAGCTTCTGCTTGACTCGTTGCAGGTTGTCGATCTGCTCCCCAAGCTCCGCTGTGCTGTCCGCATGCTTCTTCCGCAGGGCGGCAGCTGTGGCTTCGTGCTGCAGCGTGGCCTCTTCCAGGTCACGGCGCATCTTCTGAAATTCTGCCTCACGCTTCTTGTTCATCTCAATCTGAGCTGCTGTAGCCCCTCCTGCTTCCTCCAGGCGCTCACTGATCTCCTCCAGCTCCCTGGAGAGGTCAGCTCGGTGCTTCTCTGCTTTGGCCCGAGAGGTTCGCTCTGCCTCGATTTCCTCCTCCAGTTCCTCAATACGGGCCTGGGGAGCATCAGGGACCCTTCACACCCATGTCCTTCTCCTTCAGATGTTTTCTGAAGGCCAGAAGGGAAGGACCAGAGACTTGCCTGCAGCTCCTTGATCTTCTTCTGCAACTGCATGCCCAGGGCTTGCTCATCCTCAATTTTGCTCTGGATTTGGCTGATTTCAAAGTCTTTCCTTTTGCACAAAACAAACTGTGTTAACACCTGAACAAAACCTCCTACGTGCACCTGCCCAGCACTCAGGTGTCCCACAACCTCACTTACTTCTTCAGTTTCTCATCCAGCTGCTGCTTATCATTTTCCAAATCCATTATGCTATCATGGGCCAACTTCAGGTCTCCTTCAAGTTTCCTCTTTGCTCTCTCAAGGTCCATGCGCAGCTTCTTCTCTTGCTCCAGGGACCCTTCCAGCTAAACAGAATGGGATCATCAGTGCTCTGCCAGCCATATTTATCTCCACAACTGTCCTGTAATGGCTATATGCATTTTGCTTACATCGTCCACTTGCTGCTCCAGCTTGGTTTTAGCTTTGGTCAGCGTATTGACTTTGTCCTCTTCAGCCTGCAGGTCATCCAGTGTCTGCTGATGGGCCTCTTGGAGGGCTTTCTTCTCTTTTGTCAGCTTCACAATGGTCTCATCCAGGGCTGCCATCTCCTCTGTGAGGTTTTTCACCTTTGACAAGTGGGAAGTAAATGTATATAAAAAATGTTGTTCACAATTTCATACTGTGTATCAAAGCAGAATTCTTTCCAGAGTGACAACTTCTGCCTCGTACCTTGTTTTCAGTGGCATGCTTTTCCTTCTCAACCTTAGCCAACGTTAACTCCAGGTCATCTATATCTTTCTTCAGCTCTGAGCATTCATCCTCCAGTTTCCTCTTCTTGGCTGTCAGCTCAGCATTAATTTCCTCCTCATCCTCAGCTCGTTCTGTCACCTCCTTAATTTTGGCTTCCAGCTGGATTTTGGTTTTGATGAGCTGATCACATCTTTCTTCAGCATCAGCCAAGCTATCTGCTTCCTGAGGGGAAGACACATATTTTCTTCATTTATGTTCTGAAGTTTTCTAAATGTGTTGTAAAAGCAGGGCTGAAATTGTCTATTACTCACACAACTGACTTATTTTGCTGAATGTGTTGGTTTTGTTTGTTTGTTTGTTTTTGGGAAGGGTACACAACCTTTCTCTGGAAACTATTGATTCTGAATCTTTTTTCTCTCCTAAATGCGTCTGATGGATGGGGTAAGTGTGAGAAATTCTCACTTACACAGTAAACAAAGATGTTACAGACTCTTTCTAATTTAAAAATGCTGTATTGAATTTTCTTTTGTGATTTAATCCTGTAGAAAACACTTTTTTGTGAGGAGTAATAGTTTTGGTAATCTAAGGAACAATTTAATGGAAGAAAAGGAGTCTATAAATTTATTAAGAATGCTCCTTTATTAAATGGGGTATAACTCATGCACATCTTCTACCTATCATCTTCCCAAAGTTTGTATGGAGTTTCATATGCAGATTTCAACTGAAAGCCACATCCTCTTATTCTGGTGAGATTTTTGATATTATAAATTTGCTTTTTTCCAAATACTCTTGAGAGGTAAATATCTGACAAGAGATTTTAATGGGGTATTTATTTTTCTTCAAATACCAGGGAAAATAGATAACACAGTTTTCCTATTTTTCTATTGGAATGTTCAAATAACTGAATAATTAAGTACTGTGTACTGGTTTTATCTGTTAATTTATCTAATCTAAGCTGATTTTTATAGTGATTCTTGAATGCTAAATATATTTGTGCTTATTTTTAATCAGTGTTTTATTTTGTAAAGTGCTGTGTCTCTACAGGGTTCTTAGAGCACTGATTACAATAAGCTACCATACAGTGCAAATAAAAAATAAAAAAAAAAAAAATAAAAAAAAAGAGATGCAAAAAATTTCAGTGTTCAAAAAAAACTTAAAAAATATTTTTTTTCATTATAACTTGACCTTGATTTACACTAGTTAAATCAAAAGCACATAGAGTCTATTATGGAATTAATAGCGGAGGACAGAAAAAGACCCACAGGTGGTATGATTGTTTCTCAGAAACAGGAACTCGGTGTCTGTATCTTCTCAAACTAAGTGGAAATAAGAAGATGTATTTCCCAATTTCAGAGTGAATGATTAGTTTATAGTAAATAAGAAACGGGTGGATGGCTTCCCCTGAACAGCTTATACTAGTTTAAACTCTGGCTTGCATTTACACTCCAGAAGGAATTCACTGTTCTACATACTGGTGCTATGAAGACAGCCTCTGCAGAATTCAATTGCTCAGAGGGTGTCGAGGGTTTAGGTAGAACTCTGAGTATTGCATGTTTACTAGCTGTAGATATAACTTCTTTAGCTCAAAGCAAAAGCAGTGACTCCAACTTCATGTTCACTTATTCTTTGTACGGGCATTCAAGAGGGCTTATCATGTGGAAACACCTGTTTCCTAAACACTGCATACAAATGATCGATAAATCTCCAAATTTCTGACTTGTGGTCTTCTGTAATCTGACCTTCTGTTTGATGAAGAAAAATCTGAACATGCAAACTTATTTTCTCTGTGATAAGTGAATGATAAACTCACAGCCTGTACTTGGAGCTGCAGGTCATTTTTCTCCTGCAGTAGGGACACCATTTTCTCCTCCAGCTCCTTCCTCTTGGCCTCAGACTTTGCAAGCTCTTCCTTGGTCTTCTCAAACTCTTGTTTCATGTTGGCCATCTCCTTCTCAGACTCTGCACTCTTCAGCAGGGGCTTGATCTTGAAGAACAGCTTCATCCAGGGCCAGTGCTTGACATTCATGAATGCACGAACGTTGTACTGGATGCAGAAGATGGACTCTCTGAAGCATAATTAAAATGCACATTTGATTATTTTGTGTGATATGATTACTAGGACTTTCCCCAAAGTGCCTTTAAGTGAAGATGGGGAACACCTACCTCCTCTCCACCATTCTCTGGTACTCCACTCTCATCAGGAAGCCCCTGCACCTGGCCTGTGTGCGAGTGATGAGCTGTGCCAGCTTCTCATCCCTCATCTCCTCCAGGAGTCCCAGCAGCCCAGCTTTGAAGAACACCTGGAGAAACAGAACATTGCAGTGCATCACTGTCAGGGAGAACAAAACACAGATACAGGGACTGAGTTGAGGAGAGTTGGTACCTTGGTGTGACCAAATTTGTACTGGGTGTGGTCCACATCAATAGATGAAAGGAGTTTCTCAGAAGCTTTCTTGCTATCAATGAACTGTCCCTCGGGGATGGCACTGGCATTAAGAACCTTGTATCTGCAGTCAAAAACAGATTAGGATGTATTCAAC